ATCAGCGGGGAAACAGGAGACTCAGGGCTGGGTGGAACCAGCGGGGAAACAGGAGACTCAGGGCTGGGCGGGACCAGCAGGGGTGGAAGAAACAGGGGATTTACCTCCTCAAATACCTCCAAATTCCTTTCAGAGTCCAAATATTTTCCAGAGGCCATTTAATTCGCATCCACAATGGCAGGGTTGTGGGTGGGGCTTCCCTCCATGCTCTCGGACTCCACAAGCACTCCCTAATTGACGCGCAGTGTTTCCGGCTCACACACCTAGACTCTCCGTGAGGCTCAGGATCACGCCGCAGGCCGATCACAATCTATGGTGGGCTCTCGCCAATCTCCCGTGCAGATAATAATCCAGGAGTCTTTAAAAGTCTTTAATTCAAATATACTCAAAAAACTCAGGAACAGATTTCACAACACCTCAACATTAACAAGACAGGACAAAGACTGCAAGAACACAGGGAGTATAAATGCTGGAACAAATGAGGGAACTAATAAGCTAATTAATTGGACAAGTGTAATGAATCAAACAGACTCAAGACTAGGAAAACTAGGCCAACTGAGAGGACACACGGGTAAACAGGACAGAACCAAAAACACAAGGAAACAAAGTAAAACAGAGCATACATGTTACAATAACACTGTTGAAGATGTAATTAGTTGCTATAGTAATTAATTACACATTGTAGAGTAACCAACACTGGTTACCATGATGTTCACTTTAGAATACAGTTCCAAATGACTAGAAGGGTGTGGTAACACTTGAGTCATCTTCATATCATATCATACCTTACAAAAACTTCAAAAGATTACAATGACTTCAGTCATTAGGCTATACTTAGAGTTATCATGCTTTTCACTTTAGAATACTGTTCCAAATAATTTGTCATTTCTCATTACTCATTTGTTCCTGTGTAGTTATTCATTAATGACGGAACAGTATTCTGAAGTGTTAGCAAAGCGATAAGAGGTAAATTCACCATAAGACATTTAAGAACTTCCTGTCTGTCACTTCCTGTGCCTACCTCAATCACCCTCTTTCTCTGCCTTCCTCTTTCCCTTTACAGACGATTATTTGAGGTCCTTCTCTCTCTCTGTGATTCCTCCTAAACCTTTCAATCATACTGAGCCAGTCACCTTGGACCGTGTCTGTCACCACACAAGCTGGATCATGCAATCACATGCAAACAGCACACACACACTCAGGGAAGCATAAGATTGAGTGTGTGTGAAAGAGACAGAGAGAGACCATCTGTATGTCAGCTTGTCTGACCCTCTTTCAGAGCTTGAAATGAAATCAATACAAAGAGGTATCCCTGAGTAACGCAATAGCTCAGAACAGAACAAACACGTACAGAGAGCGACCCAGTGCAAACATCGACATTAGTGCCAAGATCGAGCCATCCACCTGATGCCCACCTAAACACACCCACACAATGTTTCTCACCGACAGTCCTGTGACAAACAAATATGAGACGTTTTACCGATCTTTATACAGTTATTAATTTAGCAAATGCTTTTATCCAAAGCGACTTCGACAAACACAAGCATAAAAGAGTCAACAATATGTCACAAATTTTAATAGGCTAAACCAGAACACCACAAAGTTGGTAGACAGGGACAGTAAAAAGAGAGATTTTTTTTTTTTTTTTTTTTTTTTTTTACAGAAATCTTTTATTACACAGAAGTGTGTGATTTCACTTTCAAGATTGCCAACACACACTTCTCAACTTATTGCCTTGTATACCCACACCTGGCCCCGAGACAACTATTTGGGACGGAACTACTTGGGTCAGATCATTCATCATTCGGCTACAACAACAATACTTTTACACTTTTATATTAAATATAAATAAAATATTTTTGTATAGTAACGGAAACTAATTCTGACTGCTATATTTGATGACATATGTAAGCAATAAGGTACGAGAGGCTGTGCGGTATCGTGAATAAGTCATGGCTGAAGGGCGTTGTTAGGCATGACATAGACTGTAAAAAAGAGCTAGTTACCTTATTGCTTTTATAAAACGGTTAACGTTACCACACAATACAAATATTAAAGGCAAAAAAAATATGTATCAATGCAACTTTCATGAAGTAAAATCACTAAAAGCATTCCTTCCGCTGGAAAAAATAGTCCCTGACCGTGAACAGCAACAGAAGTTACATTATTTCGCCATTAGATGGCAACAAAGACTGTCTTTATTAGTGAGTCAGTCAGTATTAAAGGGATACTCTACCCAAAAATGAAAATTCTGTCATCATTTACTCACCCTCAAGTTGTTGCAAACCTGTATCCGTTTCTTTCTTCTGATGAACACAAAGGAAGATATTTTGAAGAACGATTGGAACTTTGGCACCATTGCTTCCATAGTATTTTTTTTTTCTACTATGGAAGTCAATGGTGCCAAACAACTGTTTGGTTCCAATCGTTCTTCAAAATATCTTCCTTTGTGTTCAGCAGAGGAAAGAAACTCATACAGGTTTGAAACAACTTGAGGGTGAGTAAATGATGACTTTTTGGGTGGAGTATCCCTTTAAGGACTGAAACTTCTTGTGAACACGGAGAAGCTAGCAGCTAGACCCAACTAAAACCCCTTGGTTAACTGTTAAAAGGACAAGATATCACAGCGGACATTCAAACCTGATTTTTTATTACGAATATAGGACTTCCTGAAGGAAAATGCTATATCTACTGTAAATGCAGGTAAGTTACACTCACTTACTCGATCTCTCACAATCTTCTTTATAAGCTTCAATGAACAATATCAATGAGAACAAACGCATCTTTACGTTGCTAAGAGTGGTTGCTAGGGTTGTTGTGTAGTGATCTATGGTAGCGATAGTGTTTTAGGTTTTATGGTGAATCAGAATCAAGGACTGGAACTAACCGTTTTATAAAAGTAAATATAACATAATATCATGTTTCAAATAAAGATGTTTGTTTTCTGGAATATAAAGAAAAACATAGGTAATCTATAAAAGGACCATCACCATGAAAGAGTTTTTATAATATATTCAAGTCTCTATTATATAGACTTGAATATATTGTGTACGTATATAAATAAATAAAAATCTATATAAATAAATAAATTCTTAATTAAAAAGTCTTATCCCTTACCTGTAATAAAAATTTGAAAATGTATAGGCCCTACTATCTTAATCCATGATAATATGTTAATGCTTAATGCTGACCCTCACTGCTCAAGTACAGAAGCGTATAGCAAATTCCCAGTGAATATGTTTGACAGACTATCTAACATAACTTTAATGAGGAAAGTGTTATTTCATGCTTGTTTACCGAAAGGTGCAAGGACATTTCTAGTTTAATACTTTGATTAGTAAATTGCAATTGCCCTTTACAGTCTGTCACCAGATTCAGGTATAGTGCCCTTTAAAGGCTGTGCTTGATTCATTACACAATATTGTGAGAGGAACAATAGCTGTGTAAGTGCTTCTAGGACTCCAATTAAAAAATCCAAACCTGATATAAAAAAGTTTCCAAGTAACATATGCAGTGCATTTTACTGTTAGCACTGAATCTCTAAAGGATTTTTGATGATCAACGTAGACTAACAATGTTTCTATTTCTGGCTAGCAACAATTTGCTTTGTGAGCTCATGAAGTCAAGAATAACAAAAAAATCGATAACAGGGCCTTGGTTGAGCCATTAAAAGTGTCAGTGCAACATGTCAACAGCACATAAATTTCCTCAGCTTACATAAAAAGTGTTTGCCTCACTCAAAATAAGGGGGTGAACAACCACAGGCCCATATCAGGCACTTGACCCATATTATTTAGCATGCATCTTGTCCTCTCTCCTCTCCTTTTCGGTCACTGTAAAGTAGACACTATTTATAGCCAAACACACTAAATATGCCATCCACGCTCCTCCCCAGAGCACATAACAGATAGCCAGCTAAATTCAGTGCCACAACTTGAAGCTGCAAGAATTTTTAGTCTAAAAAATAAGCATTTCTATAAGAGGTGATTAAATTTAGCTCTCTCAGGAGGATATAAATACGGGCTTCCCTAATTACCCAATATGTCCCGCACTGACACTTTCTGCAATAGCTTTTTATGTAAAAGAAACCTAGACTCCGTGTTCCTGTGACATCACAGCTCAATGACAATCAAAGGTCAAATACAGCGGCATTTTTTTTTTTTATTAGTCCATCAGCTGTCTGTGTTTGTTTTGATACTGCTCCCTCGTCTTAATGGGCGTACAACATCATAAAACACGTTTAAGAGGAACAATTCTGTGTCCTCTCTCTGTTTGCCTGCCTGCAGCCTCACGGTTACAAGAGAATATTAATCGCACCAAAACACCTGCAATTTGTCATCGACGGCTGCGTTAAAGCGTACCCATTTGGCGGGAACAGGTGCCCACCGGTGTCATTGACTTTGCAGAATTTGACCTACATGTGAGGCGCATCCAGCTCCACGTCACACCTGAGCGCTTTTTGCTCGTGAGCGCGTGGGACCCTGCACCTCTGATCCTGAAAAACACCCTCTTCAGTTAACCTCTTCGGGCAACTCACGAGCGTACGCGCTCAAACCTGTGAACTGCTGCTATTTTCACACAAACAGCTCCTGACGTGACCTTAGCGCGGTGTCAAATGTGGCGAGTCTTTGAGACTGTACGTTCTGGATATGCATCGAATTCAACCATTCGCTCCAAAAATTCCACTTCAGATCTTTAAAACCGCCGGGTGAACAGCACCTACCGCATGCAGACGGACACATACGGATATCAATTCCAGACGCACTAACGGCTCTCAAAAGCAGACAGCTCAATCCCGGCTTCCCTTGAGAAGCGTGCCGAATCACTGTCAAAGCCTGGAGGACAAATGGCCTTTAACCAAAAGGTTTCCATAGAAACACACACGTTTTCCCCGAAAGGGGGGATGCTTGCGAGCAGAGCGTTGCCTATCGCTCCTCTACCCCTGGCTGGTCTCCTTTCAACCTGGAAAAGAAAGGCTATCAAAACAGAGAGGGTCTTACTGATGGTGCGGGATCCGATACAGCCCATGGTGTCTCAGCGAGGGCCGGTTTGTGAGCGAGGAACGAGAGCCACCCTCTCAGCAGACATTCTCTCCTTCTCTCTCTCACACACTCCTCTTCTTCTTCTCCACGTCTCTGACTCTCCCCTCCTGTCTCTGTAAGGCTGTATGCGAGAGCGAGTGTGTGTGTGTGTGCCTCCAACACGCTCTCGCCGTCATCCACCCTCCCTCCCTCCTTGGCTCACTGCAACCCCCTCATTACTCTCTGGTGAGACGAGATATCAGAGTTAGTCAGTCACTAAGTCAGTGTGTCTGTGAAACAGGTGAGATTGCTGTGAAATCTCTCTCCGGCCACTTATGTTCCCTTAAATCCCTTTGTAATCAATACAAACGTTTGAAATATCAAACAGCTGACAGTGACATTGAGAAATGTCAATTACAACAAGAGGAAAGAGCGCTGATCAGAAGTTACATGCAATTCCCTGGAGTTCCAGGACTGAGAGGATCAATATCTTGGCTAATCGTACGGGGCATCTCTTTTCTTTGGTTCTCTCCATTATCATTTGACAATGCGGTGCATCTGTCTCCCCACCCAACTCTTGCCGCCCCTCCCTTGCTCCATTTTTTTCCTGTTGCGCTTGCACTCTCCAAAAGCAAACACAACCATCTATTTATCCCTCTCGGTACCTCAGACTCCCTCTTTGCGTCATTTCTCACGCTCAAATTGAAGAGTTTCGTACATCTATTTAAAAACGGTTCATCATGATTGCTTGTCATGTCCAGCGTGCCCGTGGAGACCCGTAACCTTGAATATACCCACACACAGGCACACACGCTGCCCAGACTGTACATGCGCACTCTCCCTGCCTCAAGCAAGCAAGGTTCCTTCCTTTTCCTTCTTTTTTTCTTAAACAAATTCTGTCACTGCATTCAACCAGCACTGCCGGAAGAAGAAGCTTTGAAGAGGAATGGAGAGGGCTAACCCAGGAGGTGTGCTTTGACTCATATTAAGGAGCATGAGGCTGTGCAGCTTGAATTAGTATTCAGGAGGAGAGAGAGCAAGAGTGATGAGGAGAGGAAAGAAGGGATGACAGGGATGGGAGGAGGAAAAGAACGGATGAAGTATGTGTGCGTGTGGTAATATTACAGGGAGCTGTCCAGACAGATGCCGAGGTTGACTGCTTTTCCGCTTCGCAAATGTGTTATGAAATGTACTACAATTCTCTAAGCATTTCGTTTTTCACTTGGTGTTATCATGTTTTAAATCAAATCGACAACATAAGCTACATTTTTAATTGAGGGCATTTTGTTTATCATAAACTTACACTTTAAAACACATACACAATTTGTTTCTGTGTAGGGACAGAGCAGGGTAAGCCCCTGCAGACTTTTTGCCACGTGACCATATTTACATTTAGTTATTTGGAAACTTTTATTCAGCAAGAATGCAATTAATCGATCTAAAGTGCCAGTAAAGACATTTAGATTGTTACTTATATATTTCTGTTTCATATGAATGCTGTTCTTTTGAACTTTCAGGTTCATAAAAGAATACTGAAAAGCAGCACTGTTTTCAACATTGAATAAGTGTTTCTTGAGCATCAAATCAGCATATTAGAATGATTTTTGAAGGATCATGTGACACTGATAGTGGAAAGGCCCAGGTATATTTCATTTTCCGCTCCGTCAAAGTATACTCCTTTGGAAAGACGCGTTTGCTATCTATTTTTCAAGCCCTCTAGTCACTTGCAAATCGGCTGTTGTACACGCACCGTCCTCGTGGACACAAAGGCTGCGTCCATAATTCCATAAGGTGCTTCTCAATACTCTAATTTATGCTTCCTCATTTCCTTGCTCTTCCGGATTGAATTCAGCCATCTTGAAGGACATCTCAATTCTCTAATTGGACTTGCGAGGAATGAGGTGTGAGGAAGCTTCCCAAAGAAGTCATGAGTGAGGATATACAGGTGTATCCTTCCCTCGCATCCTAAGGGGGTGTAGATAAGACGTGAATAAGAAATGAGAAGCACACATACTCTCTTGAGTAGATACTTATTTTGAGTAATTGTTTATTCTGGTGACCTACCAGAGTCAGTTGCATCGCTTCACCGCCATTCGTAAATCCTCTCCCGTGGCCTCAAGTGTCCATCGTATGCGCACTTAAGAATCTCGCTGGAAGTAGTAGGTCATCCGGGTACTTTTTGCCAACTATTTTATGAGTACTGTTACTTCAGGCATATACATCTTTTGTAACACTGTTTTTTGCCTACTATATTATAGGGAAGTATGCGATTTTGGATGCAGCCCAAATTTTGGCTGCATACAGATAGTGTTTCGCGGACATCCGCAGACCCTCCTGATAACGAAAATTACGTCACACAGTCAGTGCTTTGACAAAGCTCACGACGAAGGAGATACTCAAAATACATCTTTAATCCAAGAATCAAAATAATAACTAGGAGAATAACTCGGAGGAAACACAACCACGAACACACTGACATCAAAAAATGCAAGACCAGGAACAGTCTGGAACTGAGGGCTTAAATCCAACAAAAGAGCAATCGAGATAATTAACAGAATACTCAAATCAATCAGAAACCATAGTGACAAACAGCCAGGGAACAGAGGAGAACTGAACTAATTAACAAACTGGAAAGCTAACCTAGAAATACAGACATGACACAAAAACAAACTCAAAACGTGACACACGGAAAACTTTTTCAAAAGCATGTAAAAAGAGAAATAAGGTTTTACCTCTACCTCATTTCCTCTTGTCTACAGGACAACTTAAGCAAAAAGCTTAACCCTCTCTCTTCCTAAATAGTGAGATTTTTTTTTTCTTGTATCAAAAATGTCTTCACTCAGCATCAACTATTATTTAGCAACAAATCTTGCTAGCAAGTTGATTTAAGATAGGTCAACTTACCCAACGCATTTGTCAGACAGTCAAAACACCATTGATAGCACATCAACATACCAACAGCTTCATAAATTCAGAAGCCCAAAGCGTCCACACGTCGTGCTATATAAATGACTACACCAATCAATGCCTCAACTTTCCCTAACTCAAAAAAGGAGGCGTATACCTGACACTGAGGGAGATAAATAGAGAGGAAGAGGGAGGGAGAAGGCTCATCCAGACATCACAAAACCAACATTGGGACACCATATCATAATTTATTTATGCGCCCAACAGCTTGCCTGAAGTTACAGGAGGCTCTCTCAAAGGGTGAGTCATCCTTTTCTCACTCTCTCTTTCTCATTCTCCCTCGCTTTCTCCACCCTATCTCTCATTTTCAAAGCAGCGACTGACATCAAATTCACATTGAGGCTTTGACTTCCTGTCTCTCTTGCCTATTTTATGTGTGTTTGTGTATCAAATGATCTTAACTGTATATGCACCATATACATTTAAGCTTGCATGCTGTCAACTTAACATTATTGTTGCATGCTTTTAGGCTATACATGCTTGCCACTTACTATCATGTTAATAGCATAACTATAAATAGCACTGAACATGTACTGACCTCCCAATGTTCTATAGAAGGCATGATGATGGGGGAAAATGCTCTGAACAATCCCCATAGCAAACTGCACTACAGCCGCTGCAAATCCGATTTCTTCCCTTTACATTTGCAGTGTGAGTGCATCTGCCCTGCGCTGTGCCGAAAGAGCTTTAATTCAGACAGAGAGCCAGGCTCCGGCCCGGATCTACTGCCCTTGGCCACGATCAATAACTCCATGTTAGACCAAAGTAATTCAGCAGGGTTTTATTCACTCTGAACATTTCTTTGGCCCACGGAGAATGTGAATCACCCAGAGATCGCAGGCCCTGTCACTTTGTACCTGTGCAAGGGCTCTATAGTTTACTTGATCTACAAATGTGTTTGCTTCAAAGGGTTAGTTCGTCTATCTATCTATCTATCTATCTATCTATCTATCTATCTATCTATCTATCTATCTATCTATCTATCTATCTATCTATCTCAACCCAAGCATGCATGTTAGCATAAGGGCTTTGTTATAATATAATATAGAACACTCACTGGCCTCTTTGTACCCCCTTTTGCCCACTTTTGCCTTCAGAACTGGCTTAACTCTTCTTGGCAAAGATTCAATAAGGTGTTGGAAACATTCTTTAGAGATTTTGGTCCATATTGACATGATAGCATCAATCAGTTGCTGCAGATTTGTCGTCTGCACATTCATGATGTGAATCTCCCGTTCCTCCACATTCCAAAGGTGCTCTATTGGTTTGAGATCTGGAGAGTGACTGTTGTGTAGTGAACTCATTGTCATGTTCAAAAGTTTCATTTTGAGATGATCTGAGCTTTGTGACATAGCACGATATCCTCCTGGAAGTAGAAGATGGGTACACTGTGGTCATAAAGGGATGGACACGGTCCGCAATAATATACTCAGGTTTAAATTATGCTCAATTGGTACTAAGAGGCCCAAAGTGTGCCAAGAAAAAATCCCGCACACCATTACACCACCAGCAGCCTGAACCGTTGATACAAGGCAGGATGGATCCATGCTTGTATGTTGTTTACGCCAAATTCTGACCCTACCATTTGAACGTCACAAGAGAAATCGAGACTTTCCAGACCAGGTAATGTTTTTCCAATCTTCTTGTCCAATTTTGGTGAGTGTGTGCGAATTGAAGTCTCAGTTTGCTGTTCTTAGCTGACAGGAGTAGCACCCGGTGTGTTCTTCTGCTGCTGTAGCACATCTGCTTCAATGTTCGACGTATTGTGCATTTAGAGATGCTCTTCTGTAGATCTCGGTTGTAAACGACTGTTGTCTTTCTATCAGCTCGAACCAGTCTGGTCATTCTCCTCTGACCTCTGGCATCAACCAGGCATTTTTGCCAACAGACCTACCACTCGCTGGATATTTTCTCATTTTCGGAACATTCTCTAGAGATGCGTGAAAATCCCAGTAGATCAGCAGTTTCTGAAATACTCAGACCAGCCCGTCTGGCACAACAACTGTGCCGCATTCAAAGACACATAAATCACCTTCCTTCTCCATTCTGATGCTCAGTCTTGACCATTTCTACATGCTTAAATTCATTGAGTTGCGTTAACGAGCAATTGCACAGGTGTACCTAGTAAATAGGCTGGTGGTGAGTATAGTAATATAATATAAAATAATAAACAATGTTTATTAAAAGTAAAATGGCTGAATGAGCAAATTTTAAACCTCAGTTTAAAAG